CCCCATGTGTGCCAGAGTAGAGCTGGCGTCATTGCCAGAAGTTGATCACCAGCCCTTTCTTCCACGGTGCCCCTGAGTAGGCTCGAACAACCAGCCTTTTGACCAAGGGCTTAGCTGTTGATGTGTTATGACTGTCTAATAAATTGCGATGCTTAGCTTCTGAAAATGGCACCAGTCTTATGCCCCTAGCCCAGCCAGGTGTGCGTGTGTGTGTGTGTGTGTGTGTGTGTGTGTGTGTGTGTAGGTTTCTGGCAGACACTGTGGGGGAAGCTGCCTCTACTTTGAAGTGCATGGAGCTCTCCTGGTAAGTGCTGATGACTGGAGGTCACATGGGAGTGGAAACCGCCTGGTGGTGTGTGTGGTGGTGGTGGTGGTGGGGGCGTCTGTAGACTCCTGAGGCTGGCTGTGGGTGCTGGCTGTCTGCTGGAGCCTCTGTGAGACGTTCCCCAAGGGCCTTCTGAAGTCTTATCCCTGAGCCACCTCCCAGGCAGGAACCTCTGGGGAGGGGAAACTATGCCGCTCTCTTTTGGAACAAAGCCCACCCATGCTTTTCTGCTCACTGAAATCCTAGTGGTCCATCCATCACCTCCAGGTCATGCCTTCCTCTCATCTTATCCCGCCCTGACCGCCGGCCCCCCAGGACGTTTCTCCACACTCAGCCTGCTTGTCTGCAGTAGGGAAACAATGGAGACAACTCAAACACCCTCATTAGAACAATGGACAAATCTATTGTGGTATGTTCACAATGGGAGGGGTTACGTATGATGGGTTAAATGAGTGAATTAGATCAATTGGGTATCAGATGGATTAACCTTAAGACAACAACAACGACAACGACAAAACAGACAGGACGGGTTCCAGACACAAAGCTTAGACTCTGGAGCCCAGGGGTCTGAGTTCAAGTCCTGGTCTTCCACATGCTAGCTCCTTAAGCTCTGTGTGCCTCCATTTTCTCATCTGTGAAATGGGCTTGGTACTCACAGGACCTACCACTTAGTGCCGCTATGAAAATTGATGAGTCAATATTTAGAATTGAATTGTGCCTGGGTAAGTGCTATGAGCACTTGAGATTGGGAAGTGAAAATAGTGCTCAACAGTGCCACCCGCCAGGTGTGGATCCGACATGCAAACATCCGTACAGTTGTGGGGAGTGAAGCTAGAAAGGCAGGCGGAGAGACTAGACTCTCAGGGTCCTTTGGGACAAAAGAGGGGGAGCATGAATCAGGCAGGATGCACAGGGGACTTCGTTATGCCAAGGTCCCTTGAGGACTTCAGGGCATAACTTTTGTATCCTGCCCCCCACCCCCATCCCACCTGCCTGAAGTGAAGGGGAGTGGGATTTCTACTGGTGTGACGTGAGCTGGCTCCGGGAGAACTTCGACCACACCTACATGGACGAGCACGTGCGAATCAGTCACTTCCGAAACCACTATGAGGTGAGCCGGGCAGGCCGGAGGGCACTGGGTCAGCCGGCCCTGGGTCAGCCAGCCCTTGCCGCTAATGGGCAGTGAGCAGGAGCTGGCTTTGGGGGGGTACTAGAATGGGAGTCCCTGGGTGGTGTGAATGTACCCGGCCGCTAACCCAGTGTGCCTTGGAAGAAAGGCTGGCAGTCAACTTCCCCCCACCCCACCACCCAAACCCTCAGGAGCACAGTTCGACCACAGGACACACATGGGCCACCATGGGTTGGAGTAGACTCAGCCGTGGCTGTTTGTGTGTTTGTGGCAGGACCAAAAAGGACCGTGTAAGAGCGAGGTGAAAAGTGGGGGTGTCCAGACTAGATCCTTGAGCTGGGGTCTAAGACCTGGGGGGCAGACTTGCTTGGGGTTCGCGTGTGAAGTCCCTGACTGGTGGATATTTCACACCTGAGATGCAAGGGGCAGGTTGGTTTGAGGTGCCAGGACCAAAGTAGCAGGGCCCTTGGGAGATGGGAGGTGACTTCAGTGCAGAGACACGTTGGGAAGTTCGGGGTCTAGCGATGGGAGGGAGGCGGGGTGCTTTAACAGGCTGGTGTCACTTAGTGGTTAAAAACATGAACTTCGGAGCCAGACAGGCTGGGGGTCATTTTCGAACCTGTTTCCTCACCTGGACAATGAGGGTCGGTACTGGAGAGCTGGCTGTTGGTCAATGTTACTATTCCCGCGGTGGTCAATTTGGGGGTCACAGGATGGTGGCGGGGGGGTGGGAGGCGAACCAGGGTGGTGAGCACCAGCACCCATGGCCTGCCCACCCTGCCGCCCAGCTGACCCGCAAGAACTACATGGTGAAGAACCTGAAGCGGTTCCGGAAACAGCTGGAGCGTGAAGCCGGGAAGCTGGAGGCAGCCAAATGCGACTTCTTCCCCAAAACCTTTGAGATGCCGTGCGAATACCACCTGTTTGTGGAGGAGTTCCGCAAAAACCCTGGCATCACCTGGATCATGAAACCTGTGAGTGCCCAGGGCTGGGGACCAGCAGGACGTGGGGGAGCGGGAGGAGTCCTGGGGCAGGAGCACCGCTCTCTGAAGCCCATCTCTGGACATGCCTGTGCCTGGGAATTCAGCCTTCGATGCCCTGCCCCCTCCCTCTCCTCTCCTCTGCAGTGCATGGTTTCATAGCAAACCTGAAGGACAGAGAACTGCCCCAGTGGGTTTCCAAGTCTGGAAATCTTTACCAGAGAAGAAAGGCTCATTTTGTTCTGGCAGAGCAGCTGGTGGGTTGGAACTGCTGACCTTGAAGCCAGCAGTCGGCTGTGTAACCCACTAAGCCACCAAGGCTCCTTGTTTAAGAGCCAGAAGTCTGGATTTAGGCCTGCAGCTCTAGAGGAAAGGCTTTCTCTCTCTGTTGGCCCGAGGGGAAAGTCCTTGTCTCCTTCCAAATCCTCTGGGCCCAACGCTCCTTGTCGAGCTCTTCATACATCTGGACATCAGACTTTCCCTGGGTCTCGCAGGTTCTCAGCGCAGGGACCCCGGGTCCAAAGGATGTACTTTCCTCCAGGCTCCTCTTTCTTGGCGGTAGTCGGGTTCCTCTCTCTCCTTCCATCTCTCGTAAGATTACAGGTATGACTGAAGCAGAGTTGAGACTTGAGTAAGGGTGGGACTTGAGCCACACTCTCCTTTTTTTTTTTTTAAGCCAACCTCTCTTGATAAGGTTGTAATTCAAGATACATCCTGCTCTAATCCTGCCTCATTAACATACAGAGTCTAGGATTTACAATACACACACGATGGGAAGAATACAGTTATTGTACCAAAAAAGAATGGTCTGAAGTTGAACTGTTTCAAGGAGTAGACTGTGATGAGGAACCAGCGGTACCGAAGGTAGAATGTTTGAGCTGAACTGAGGGCGCGAGCAAGAAACAAGGCTCCAGGGATTGGTGGAGTACCAATCAAGATGTTTCCTCAAACAGATACAGCACTGGAAGAGCTCACGCCCCTAGGGCAACATAGTTGAAAGGCAGCTACCTGGCCAATGGACCAGAAGAGCTCCATCTTTCTGCCCTGTGATAGGTAGGTTTATTGTGCCAACATGGCCAATGAACACATGTGGGATTAATTGAAGGGCGGAGAGATAAATGGCTCCTTTCTTGTCTCTTGCTCTTTGATGATTGGACCAGTGTGCGGCTGCCTTAGCTTGTTCTCTGCCTCAATTTGCAAGCTACACTACCTGTGGGACACCTAACCTGAGGACTGTGTTGCTGTAGTTTGAGGCTCCTTCAAGACATGCTTCACCACACTACTGGAGAATACATTGCTTGAGCGGGGGACTGTCGGACCCTGTCATCTGACTGACTGTTGGTGACCTGCCTTGCTGTTGGCTGCCTGTGGCTGGGTAGTCTGAATTGCTCTACAGAGGATGACCATGCAAGACCGGAAGAACTGGCTGGTGCCTGGCTGCCACCACCACCTCCTCTGAGAAGGAGCACATTAGAAGGCCCTGGACAGAGTGGGGGAAGTGACGGAACCGACTGAAAATCAAAACAGACCAGGCTGACTGGTCAGAGAGAGACTGGTGGGCCCCCCAAGACTATGACCCTTACCCTTCAGGTCTGTAACTGGACCCACCTCTACGATTGAATAATCATCCATTCACAATCAGAAGGGTGGAACCGACCCAAGGAAAAACACAGAGGGTTAGGGAAGAGGAGAAAACCCAGGGAGAGAGTGGGGTGAGCGGTGCTACCCCACGGAGAGGATTGCAACGATGGGTTGAATCAGAATGTGTCTTAATTGTCCAAAATAAAGTGATGATCAGCCCTGCAGACCTTCACCTAAATCACAATAAAAAGCCAAAATGAAAGAAAATGAAAAATCCTCACAACTGAACCAATGAACACCATGACAAATATCGGGGTTGCCAATTTACTGGATCCACAACGAAAAAACCCAAACTCACTGTCTTTCAGTAGATTCTGACCCATCGTCACCCTACAGGACAGCGTAGAACTTCCTCTGTGGGTTTCCAGGACTGTAACTCTCTTTAAGAGTAGAGAGCCTCATCTTTCTCCCAAGGAGTGGCTGGTGGTTTCAGTCTGCCGACCTTGTGCTTAACGCACGACATCACCAAGAGTCCTTGATGGAAGCAAAAGGCCTCTTTCAAATGTTCAAAAGCAAAGATGGCACTTCGAGAACTAAGGTGCGCCAGTATGCTCAGTCACCTTCCATGCATTTGCAAGTTGGGTGGTGAATAAGGCAGACTGGGGGATATTTGGGACATGTTATCAGGAGAGGCCAGTCCCTGGAAAAGGACACCGTGCTTGGTAGAGGTCAGTGAAAAAGAGCGGACCCTCTGCGGGATGGATTGACCAAGTTGCTGTAACCCTGGGTTCAAACGTAGCAACATGTGTAAGGACGATGCAGGACTGTTGTGCGTAGCGTCACTGACCTGGAGCAGACGTGAGGACAACAGCCTCAGGAGATGCAAGGTCCTGACACCAGGCCACAAAATGAGGGACAGTCACACCATCCTGGGAATCATGGCCTCGTCGAGTTAACAACACCTATTTTGAGGGGGTATGATTCAATCCAAGATACCTATGTAGATTGATTTATGGCCATTACCCAAATTCTTATAACGGCACTCAACTCACTCATTCACTCGCTTCCTACCTTCGGGTCAGTGCCGGCTCATAGCAACCCTCTCAGACGTGGTAGAACTGCCCCTGTGAGTTTCCCAAATTAACTCTTTGTGGGAGGAGAAAGCCGGGTCTTTCTTCTGAAGAGAGACAGGTGGTTTTGAACTGTTGACATTGCAGACTGCAGCACAATGGGTAATCACTATACCATCAGGACTCCCTCTAAGGCCTTGGGGTGGGGTGGGGGCACATTACCCCTCCTCTTTTAGAGATGTGGAGACTAAGTCTTACTTATTCCAGCATCCCACTAAAACTTACTAAGCACTTGCCAGGCACCGGGAGAAAGCTCTTAGCAAGTCAGGTGTCTGGTCTCTGCCTTCCTTGAGGGCTTACGTGATTCTTTGGGGAATGGGTGGCAGAGGGAGCAGCCAGAGGACCTCACCCAGCCAGGCAGGCTCCTCCGAAGAAGGGAGACCCTGGGCTTGGAGGGCCATCACCCTGAGGCAAGAACTAAGCTCAGGCAAATTTGTTAACTTCTCTGCTGTGCCCAGTCTCCCCATCTGCAACGTGAGACCACCTGAGTCTGTTTAATAGTGCTGCTGTGTAACCCAACAAGCTAACAACAACTAAAGCACATCGTTAAGGTCACATAAATGAGAGTTGTCGCATCCTAAGGAGTCAGGAGCTGTAACCTAAAGGGCCCTTAGGAGGCAGCCTAGAGAAGGGATGAAGGTAGGGACAAGCATCCCAGACAACGGGAACAGCATGTTCAAAGGCCTTCCACCTGGAGGTAGCCCCGTGGGAATCAAGAAATAGACTGGAAGTCTAGAGTGGCAGGTCCTTTCCCAGGTGCTCAGCCTGTCCTCCCTGCCAGCCAGGCACCTCTCACCCCAAAGCAGAGTGCTTCCAACAGCCTCAAGGAAGGCCCTGCTCTCAGGGAGTGTGTGTGGGGCGGGCTGGGCGCACAGTAGGAGGGAGCAGCCCTTCCTTGTGGGGCTAAAGACCAGGAGAACAGCTGCACTGTGGAACAGAGTCCGTTCATAGTGTTGTGGTGTTGTTGCATTAACTAGGCTAAAGGCCTAGTTAATGCAGATTGAGCGCGGGGCTTTGGGGGGGCTGGCGCTCTCAGATCCCTGGAGGCTCCCAACAGGGGCTGAGGCAGCATTGGAACCCAGGTCACTTAGATCCTTTTCCTGGCCGCCCCCTCCCCACTGCCTCTCTGGGAGCTGGTGGAGGGCTGAGTTCCGGGAAGCTGTGGAGAGGAGGCCTGAGCCAGTAGCGGTAGGAGTTGGAGGAACATTGCCTCCACCCCCCTCTCCACCCCTCACGGAATGGGTTCCAGCGCCAGCATTATCCTTTCAGACGAATGGTAATTTGTGCTAATTGGGAACCAGCACTTGCACATTAAGTTGATTCCTGTCCCAGCCCACAGCCTTTGTTAGCAGCACACAAGACAGCTGTAATTAAGAGGAGGGATCTTGGCACTGTGTGTGTGTGTGTGTGTGTGTGTGTGTGTGCGTGTGAAGTGTGAAGAGTGGGCACGATACCAGCTGTGGGGTGGCCCGGTCCCCTCTCCTGTCTGTCTGTGTACTTCCTCCTCTGTCAAATGAGTTCTTGTGTCTTGCCGGATGGCGGAAGAGTTCAGCAGAGCTCTACAAGCAAAGGGCGAGGCACTGAGATGCTCAGTAACTGGCCCTTGTAGTCCTCAGGGAGCTCCTTCTCTGCGCTCTGCCCTTGGGATGCACAAAGTGCCAAGGAGCAGAGGAAGGAGCCCCATAAACAGCTGCCTCCTGTAAACCAAACCAAACTCACTGTCCATGAGTCCAGCCTGACTCCCAGCGACCCTGAAGGACAGGTAGAACTACCCTCGGTGGGTCCCCGAGCCTGTGAATCTGTACCGGAGTAGAAAGCCCCGTCTTTCTCTTGAGTGGTTTCAAACTGCTGACCTTGCAGTTGGGAGCCCAACGCGACACCACTAGGCCACCGGGGCTCCTTCCTTCACAATGAGAACCCCCGGAAAAGATCGCCCTGAGGTGAGTAGTAAACCGGAAGCCAAACAGGTCTCCTGAAGGTTTTCTTAAGACCTAAGAAGAATTACATTTACCTCGGAATGGATCCCCTCCTTTAAAGGTCTGCCTTTTGGTTCGTTTGCTCGAAACTAGCTCACGTGTCACAAAAGAATTGAAGTCAGTTTCGATTTTACTCTTCCTCTTTCGATAGCCACGCGACGGGTGCTTGATCCTGATGGGGAAGGAATCCGGTGGGTTTTTACGACTGTGACCGAATTATGCTCTTGTGAGAACTGTCTGTGTGGGAGTGGGGAGAGACCAAATTGACAAGGACAACTCAGAAAGTTCAATCAATAGGAACCTCCAG